ATCGGGAATCGGAATCTGTAAATTCTTTGAAGTGGAATCTCGTTCTAAAGAGTGAAAATTGAATCAATCTTAAAAAAAAGTGGCTCAATTTTCAAAAGTGAGATTCCTGCACTTTTCAGAGTGAGCTTTCACTCTAAAACGTTTTAGAGAGAAGGTTTAAAATTTGAGTTACGCAGTCTACGATTTCTATGAGTCATCGCTTGATCATTTTGGTGATTGATAGTAAAGTACTTTATATTTAAGAGATTATATTTGCGCTTACCTTCTGGAGAAGGCGGCTTCACATTTCGAGCAGCGGTATCGCCTGTCTCCGGTGTGTAACTTCACGTGACGATCACGGCTGCGCTTGTGTTTGAATAGTCTGTTGCACCAACTGCATCGATATGGCATCTGATCACCGTGACTCTACAATCAATACAATTATATATTACGGCATTTTTTCGATTTTGTTTATTATAGAAATTAAAAAGTACATAAATTAAAATACATATAATATTAACCGTAGTTGTAAAAATAGAGGTTGTATCGACAATTATAAAATTGTAAATTTTCCAAAAGATCATTGTATTTTGAAGCTTTAATCGAAAAATCATAGAATTCAATAAAAATTGTGTATATCGCTCAATTAGAAATTACAACCTTTAAAATATTTTCCTCGTTACATAGAAACAATAATTTTACTAAAGTACCTATTTAAAAAGGAGGACAAATTTTGGCTGTTTTTCAACTATACAAAAGAAGTTAGAGATGTATAAAAATTATATAAAAATTATATTATTTATACTATTATTATAAAAATTATATATTATATAAAGAGTAAGGCTCTGATTTTATTCCTTTTTTCGAAGATACGTGTAAACATGAAACGTTTACACTTATAATTAGCATATATCCGTTTATTAGAAACGTTTTCTGAATATACATGTTTTAAGTCAGGTATTACATATTTAAATGAGAATAAATTTACATATATTTAGCACATTCATCTTTTACATTCCATGAAAACTGTCTTGTTGAATATTTTATCGTTTTTTTTATAAAATTGAAAACCGATTTTATTTGTTTCGCATTTCTTTATAATTTAATATTTAAAAAGACGCGCGTTACGTAAAAAAATATTTACTCTTTTAATTACCATATATATATAGATAAGGTGTCTCACCTAAGATCAGCATCTCGAGTAACACTCACAGTTTTGAAGATAAGAAGAGAGGGGCATCGTGTGATGATGAATATTTTTTTTCAAGTAGAGGTGCTTAAGAGATTTAAAGATTATCTTTGTTTTTTAAAATGGAAGTATGTGAATTTTTTTACATAATATAATTCTTCTAACTATTCTGCATATAAAAGTATTAAAGTAATAGTATCGGAAAACCAATAGTTTATGAGATGTTTTATGCTTTATTCTGGCACATATTGACATAAAATGTTAAATAACTCGTAAACTATTAACTTTTTGATAATCGTACTTTAATACTTTTATGGACAGAATAATGAGATGAATTAGTTGGTGTAAAGAAAGCACTCAATTGCATTAAAAAAATATGTATGTAAAATGGATAATTTTTTTGGAGGTCACTTAGGGTTATGACCTTGACAACATATGTCAAGGTCAAGGTCATTGGGGGATGACACCTAATCTGAATTTTTATCTTTATTTATTGTAAAGAAATTATACAATTATAGAACCATTATTGAAAATGTATGGTAAGAAAAAGATTCTCTTTACTATATTGATATACTTTAAGCATAATAATTAATTGTTTAAAAACTCTAATCCCAAAATTATGAAAACTGTGCCAACAAGATCCGGTCTCCCTTAATTAATATCTTAATTACTATTGCAAAAATTGCAAAATGGTACAGGACTTTTCGACTCAGTCTAGTCCGCTCTACCTACCCACGAACGTTGTCGGCAGAATTTAATATGTATAATATATTTATGAATTAATTCCAACACCTAATATATATATATATATAATTAATATATATATATTTTTCATGAGCCCACGTAAACTCAGCTATATAATTATAACTAATCCGTGTGAAGTTGGCCCCCCAACTTCTATAGCTCATTTGATGTTTCTATAGCTCCTCCGCACATGTATGCACATATATGCACATGTATGCACATTTCGAATTTTCGTTTGCACACTTTCTGGTAAAAAAGTTATTTAAAAAACAATTTTGGGGGAAAAGGTTAACTTTACACTAGCCCCTCAACTTCGAGCAAATTGGATCGAAATGATCTTAATTGATAGATTTTCGTTTGCATATTCCGAAGCAAGTCAATTTTTCGTTTGAATATCTTTAGTTTAACAATTAAAGTTTCGAGAAAGTTTGACTGCGGCAGATTAGTTAAAAAGTTATTAAAATGAGTATTGAGTGCTAAATTAAAAATTTAGCGACAAGATTACGTTTTCGGCTAAATGTTATTGACAATTATGGTTTACTTCGCTAAGTAACAATATTACGTTTAAATGGACGATGTCATTAAACTTCGATAAATTTAAGTGTTGGTATAACATGTTTTTCGAAGAATGTAAGCTCACAGTTTAATTCAGAAACTTACATACCGCCGGTATTAGCATTACTCTCATTGGCAAAACTAGTACACACTCAATACACTTTAAAGCCGTTGTACACAAATCGACGTAAAGATTTGTTCGTATAATTAGCATATTAATTTATTAGAACCGTTTGTCTGAATACATTGTTTTAATGTTATTTTATATACAATACATATTTTTTTGTTTTTTACTATATTCAAACGTCATTTTTACCAAAAAGAATTTTTTATTTTTTCAACCCGTCACATTAGAAAAATTCCTTAATAAAGAGATAAATGTTTATAAAAAAAAAAAAAAAAAACGAAAATATTCGAAAAGACGTTTTTATAGATGTGCTAAATGAACGTATTTTAGTTTAAATATATAATAGCAAGTCCTACTAAAGAATTACTTAAGCATAATTTAGAAGTAGTCTTTATGTTTAAACTAGAAGTAGTCTTTATGTTTAAGTAAGAATTACTTAAACATAAAGAATGATATATAGTTTGAAGAAAATATTGGAAACGTATGAGAAAAAACATATCAAAGACAATAAATTTAATCATATTTGCAGGGTTGAAAAGTTTGTTTTTAAAAGTAACGCGTTACTATTATTTGCGGTAAAAAGTAACTCGTTACCATTATCTGTTATCGATTCTAAAAGTAACGCTAACGATTCTAAAAATAACATTATCGATACTTGAAAATAATGATAAAAAAAATTGTTACTTTTTGTTATTTCTTTTGTAATTATGCAGGAGACGGATCTACTCATTTTGATGAAATTGGGATCATTTGATGCGTTTTTGCATGAAATGAATGAATCTGGCAAAAAAATAAGTGTCGCTCTGCTCTGTGAGCCGAAATATTAAGCGTCAAAGTTGATAACTGAAGTTAGGAAATCTGTTTATCCTAATTTCATCAAAATCAATGAATGAAGCCTGTCTTTTGCATAATTACCTATTTTTAAATTTTAAACAGGCTTCTAAGACAGAATACTAAGAATGTAAATTAAACATAAGATATTTGGAGAAATATCTATCTTTAATACTTTCATTTTTTATTCATATTTTACATATGTACGTGTTATATTTATATCGTATTTTATTATATAATATTTTAGTTTTTAGTTTTTATACTAAAGCGAGGATAATGAATAAAACAAAAGTAGACAAAAAAATATTTTATTTATTTATAACTTTATTTTTCATGGGCGTGATCTATAAAAAAATAACGATACAAGAGAGAGTAACGGGATCAATTTCGTAATTCGTTATTAAAGAAAATTTAATATTGTTACTTTTTCGTTATCAATAAAAAAAATAACATTATCAAATCGTTATCTACTAAAAAAAAATGGAAACATAACGATTACAAGTAAATCATTATTACATGTAACGCTACTTCCCAATCCTGTTATATTTGTTAATAAATCGCTTGTAGCGACTCACCACCAGAGGTCCAACGGGATTCGCTCGGATTTGCGTGAGTCCCGTTGGACCTTGGTGGTGAGTCGCCACACGTTGTTAAATAAGACATCGAGGTAAGGCTCTGCACAATAAAAGGAACAGGGAACAGAGGACAGAGAACAAAAATTTCAACCTATTAGAAATCACGTATTGTGGAATACACAGTTTCTGATAATTCCCCTAACTCCTAAGAATTGAGCTATAAGAACCGTATTGTTACGTGGAAGAGATTTTAAGTGATTTTTCAGTGATTGAAGAGTTCGATAAAAAAAAAATAATCGTTTGGTTTCGAATTCTATAGCTTTGAATAATGAATATGCTTATCAATTAGTTATATGTGCAGTTTAAGTACTAATAGTACAATTTTTGTTACTTAATTCTCGGGATATCTTAAGGTAAAATAAAATCAATTGATTTTATTTAACAACTTTTAGATTTATCTTTAACACACACGATTTCTTTCATGCGTCTACAATACGATAAGCAATATACTATTCGATTTTATTTAATAACTTCTACTTTTCGAAACATTTTCGTGTTAGTCGAAACTTATTCTCTTTTAGAATAGATAGAGGAAATAATTAACCTTCCTTTTTTTGTCTAGGTATAGATCTGAAAATAATTTTGTCTTTATACCATCATCAAAATAATTATCTAGAACGCTTAATTAAGCATGATGATAATGTTGCAAAAAATTGTGACATTCTAGCAGCTAATTTCAGTATTCATATTATTAGGAGTATTTGGTCCAATAAAAATTAAAGTTATGTTTAGATCTACATCTAGACAAAAAAGGAAGATTAACAAGGTCGTTTTTGCATTCATTCCTGATTTCTATTAAATAATTTTTCTTCATTTTCTGATAGTCATAGTGAACAAAAACATAATATATTTGATTATGAATAAAGTTCCATTTATAATTGTAAAAGCTTTTAGTGGACATTGATATCAACTGCTGACTGGAAAGAAATGTTTTTAATCGTTTTTTTGAAACCATATTAAAAGTTTGCCGTTTAGTTATGTTCGTGACAATATATAGAATTAAATAACTATAGTAATAATGACATATTTCATCTACATTTGCGTAATAAATGCAGATTGTTGTCAAAAAAGTTATTTTGTAGTCTAAAAGCTTAGGACGCTCGGAATACAAGAGATCCGGATTCGACTCTCGACCGAGATAATATTTTTCGTAATAAATTTATTTACAGTTGTTCAGCACATTAACAGCTTTCTAATATATGTCTGATTGAGCATTAAATTATTAAAAATTCTTTGTCAATTTAATTTAATTCATCATGTTATTACAGTAGTTTAATTGCGTTTATAAATCCGTAAAACCAATTCGGCGCGCATTCGAATAGTACAATATATGTATATGCATGTA